TATTAACTTGTATAACCCATAGGACTATATCCGTGTTGCAATTGATGTTATCCCCAATCTTTATTGAGAAAAGTATGATTAAGTCGAACCTTTTTTTGAGAGGTGGGGAAGCTAAAAAAAAAAAAGGACAAGCAACTTCAGTTGGTTTTTTATTTTATATATTTATTTTTATTTTTATTTTTTTTGGAAAAAGCTTAGAGAGCAAAAATAAGCTCTTTTGAAATAAGTTTAGGTGCCTTGCTCATTTTTAATGAGCTTATAATTTGTTCTAGGTTGACTAAATATTTCACAGTATAACTTTAAATTCCAAATAAAATCTTTATACAATGTGGTTCCGAGTTTCCTCATGCAATTCAACCCCCTTCTTGCAAGACCCCTGTGTCAATCTCCGTATCCAACCCTACTCTAGTTGCTAATACCCCCCACTCTTGGGAAATGGAGCCTACTTCTTGCTCTTGCCACCTTTCCAAGATTTCAGCTATTAGGACAAAGGCCCAACTATAAATTCAAGCTTGGTGCCTGGATATCAACAAAACTAGCTAATATTCTGAATAACAATAATAAAATTGGCAATACCCGTGGTTAGCATACATGGTGAGAGCTAAATGATTTGGCCTTTTTAAATGCTATGAAATCTCATTCATTACATTGAAATGCTTTGCCTGAGTACAAGTTCAGTTCTTAAACTAGTGAAAAACAGATGATTTCTTGCTATGACCTATACAATAGATTCATTTTTATTTCATTGACTCCAAAGTAAAATACTTTGTGCAAAAACTTCATCTTTGCAAAGATGACGAAGAATTCAAGAACTTCATGCAGTCCTATATACCTATCATCCTCTATTCAAACAAGTGTATCTCTCAATCATTAACATTTAACACGCTAACATTACCTTCAAAGAAACACAACCCATGCATTACACGGGGAAAAAAATCGGTATTCTTAAAAGGATGCAAACGAGCCCAATAAAAATAAAAACATGTTTCTCTCAACCACCACCATCACCATCCCTTTCAATTAATTGGTAGATTCAATGGGAAAGCCACTAGATCCACTACAAAACCACCCATTGCTGCCACTTTTGCCTCGCGCCCATCAACCACCACGCCTTCTGTAATATCCCAACAACACTCCCCAATCAATCTCCAATCTAAACAACACATTTTGAGGGTGGAATCAATCAAAAAGGTAGTTTGGCTGCGCCTGGGTTCATCGACCTTCGCGACCTACCACCAACAGGTTCTCCTCATCAAGGCGACTTAAACCGTGGTCTAATGTCAACTAGGGGTGAACGCAGTTCAATTTGGGCGGTTTGTGCTATATTTCCAATTCAAACCATTTTTAGCAGTTTGAAATTTTTTCAAACCAAACCAAACCATTTTATTTTTCAACTAAATCGTAATTTGCGGTTTGGTTTAGTTTTAATCCACGGTTTACCTTTCGACATTATAATAATGTATTGAACATAGTTAAATATAAGTGTAAACAAGAACTAATAATGTTAAATGTTAAATTACATTCATATTTACCATAGAACACATTAATAAATTATTTTTAAAATTGGTTGCTAAAAGATGTTAATAGAACAAATACATCTTTCTTCATTTTTATTTACCTTTTTTTGTTTGACATTCATATTGTTATATAGCGGTTGGTAAATGTAAAGTTACATTCTATTATTATAATTTAGTTAAAATTCCTTTTCGTTTTGCTAGTGAGATGTAAAGTAAAATGTAGTAATACTAATTATGGAACTTTAACGTTTTTCGCATAATCAATACGCTACGTCATTCGTTCTTTTCAATCAAAAACAAGTTCATTAATCATCTAGACATACAAATAATCATTTTTCTATCTAAATCACAACTCACAAGTGTATAATAAGTTCCAAAAAAAAAAAGAACAATGGAAAATGGAAAATGACCAGAATAAAAATCTAAGACTTATCGAAAGAGAAGAGAGAAAGAGGCGATTCAAGTAGATATTAGTAGACTAACAAGTAAATGTGACTGACGATTCGTTCAGCGATGGTAGACAAGTATCAAATGTTAGGAAAGTTAGACCTTATGTTAGGGTTTCTGAAACTTTGAACGTGATTTACTGATGTAGTTTTGTTAAATTATGATTTGAATTGTTAAAAATATATGTTTTTTTTGTTTTTCATTTTATATTATTTTGGAATAATTTTAGTTTAGTTTGGATATCATGCGAGGACATATATTGTGAACCTATTAAATCATATGTTAATAATGATGAACCTAATTTACTTTCTATGACTATTTCAATAGGTTAGTTGTAATTTGTATTGTTAAATTGATATTTTTTTTTTTTTGAAAAGTGAAAAATGTAAAATTTTTAAGTTAATAAAATTAATTTTTTAATTAAAAAATTTAAAAACGGTTCAGTTTGATTTTGTGCGATTTTTGAAAATCAAAACCTAAACCAAACAATTTTGAAACGGTTTGGTTCGGTTTGAGGAAAAGAAACCATGGGTCCATGTGGACCCGAACCAACAGTTTCAACTCAACCATTACGGTTCGGTTTACGGTTTCACGATTTTTTTGCTGCAGCCCTAATGTCAATCAAAACAACCTCCAATCAATCTGCTATGCCTCAAAATTTTTCTACCATCGCGATGCACGAAAAACAAATTTGCCTCCATCAATTCCCGTTGCGTACACCACCAGTAACCCAAATCGGCCTTAGTAGAACCTCCAACTACCCCAATCGACTATGGATATGAATCCAATCGTGCCAATTATCCCTCCAAGCGATTCAAGTTTTGGATCAAAATCTGACTTTGACCATGTTCACAGCAAATAATATTTTCAAAAGATTGATAGGCCCCACGTCCTCCAATCTTCCAATTCAACTGGGAGGACATCAATTGAGGTTCAAACATATTTAGGTAAACTGCCAGTTGGATCAATTGACCAACCAATTACTCAATTTCATCACGGCCGATTTTCAGACCACGCACCAATTGAAAACCAAAATTCAAGCAGTTTGGTTGTGACCCATTCTATGGCAACACTTCCAATGAATTCAGTGACCTTGAAAACCCCAAGGATGCCCTCAATTCCGGTCAAAGTGGCTGATGGCAATTTTCATTTTTATTTGGGACTCCTTTGCAACTTTCTAAAAATTTTGGGATTATAGTTACAATTAATTATTTATCCTTTTCTTCTTTTCTTTTTGTTTTATTTAAATAGAGAGGCTTTTTTGTCATTTAACAACTTTTTATTGAGAAAATAGACTACAAGGGAGTACTATGCAAAATATGTTTTAAATAGTAGGTTTTGAGCTATTTTCAAAAGGTAGGGAGGTTATCGGTAAATGGGATAATAGATGGGATAACGTGCTATTAAGCCAAAAAAATAATATTAAAAAAAAAAAGGAAATTAAAGTTAAACTTATATTTTAAGAAAGGTCAAAGATGTGTTTTACTAGCAATTGTCATACCAACATCCGATCCTTTTAAAGTTTTAATAAACGTGTCAAAATTCTATAGTCCCATTTGACAACCTCTTCTATAGGTTTCAACAATGACTCAATGATAAACTCATAATCCCTTGTCGCATTTACATTACCTAACTTTTCTTAGTTTTTCATCTCGTATAGTCATATTTATTTATTGAGAATAATTTATTTTGTTTGTTTACTAATATATTTTTATTTAATTTACTTAATTATAACTAATTTTTTTAACTTAAACTTAAAATTGTACAAATATAATAAGGATAGATTAGTAAAGTTTTTGGCAAAAATTACTTTTTCAATACATTAAATAAGATTTCTTAACTTGCGTGAAAATCAAAATCAGCTTATATAAATGAAACAGAGAGAGTATTATTATTCAATCATGTTTGGTGTACATCCTATTTAACATCTTCTTTAACAAAATACCATCATGTCATTGGACATTTAAATAAAAATAAAAATAAGTCGTTTTTTCAACCAATAAATTTTTTTCGACACACTTTTCTATCAGTAAAGTGGTAAAAAGTGATATACAAATAGCAAAATCCTTTATCATTAGAGTTATCACGTATTTTTATATGAGGCCCATTTTTTTGAAAATATATTTTCTTAAAATTCATTTTTAACGATACGCACTTCAATAAAATAATCTTACACATAAATCAAAAATATTTCTTATTTTTTATTCATACATTCTCCAAAAAATCACTAACGAAAAATAAATATTGTTTCCCCTTAAAATGGGGCTGAAACAAAGGGTCAAATATAAAGTTCTAAGGACAAGTTTTCAATATTGATGGGGCAACTCAGGGCGACAAGTTAGACCTGTTGCGTGTGACATCGTGAATCACTCTTCCTCGTCAAACTAGGTTTTAAAGGCTCGTGATAAATGTGAGTGGCACGTAGTAAACATATATCAAAAAATTGACCATGGTTCAATGCTGACCCTGGCTTTAAATTTAAAATCTATGGGCCCATGACTCCACCCTCGCAATTTTTTTTTGGCTACGCATGCTTAAAAATAAGAATAATGGGTATTATTTGAAGCTCCAATTTGGTCCTTACTGTTTGAAATGCACTTTTTCTCAAATTCACTTCAACTATAATTTCTATAGAATTTATCATTTTTATTAACTTTATTTGAGCCCTATTCTTTTCATAAGAATGCATTTTTTAATAGTGTATTGATAGAAAATATGTGATTCAAAAATAAGGAAAATTTTTAGATTTACGTGTAATATTATTTTATTAAAGAATTTGTGTTTGAAATTATGTCAAAATAATATTTAAAAATATATTTCTTTCAAAGAATGGAGCTCAAACGTAGGTGGGCTATATATTTAATAAATTTTTATAAAATTTTTATTTTTAGCTAAATCAAAGGAAGAAAATTAACAAGAAAGTAAAAAACAGAGTAAAACTAATCGTTGGTTACGATGGGCTGGAAATGATCTCTAGATGTTTCATTATTTTACGAGTGGAGCCATAGAGATATATATACACATGTTGATGTATTCGTATAACATTTTTTACCTTTCTTTCTCTTGATGTATTCAAATAAACTTTTGACCTTCTTTCTCCTCTCTCTTTCTTCCTGAATCCTCTCTCTTTCTGAATCAAGAAAGATCATTCTCAAGGCGAAGAGACTTGTTTTAGTTTATTTACCCATCACACAATTTCTTAACAAACTCTTTGAATCTTTCTCTGTCTGTTGAGAGAAAAACCAGAAGGTAATAGCTAAATCTCAGCTCTTTTTATTTATTATTAATAGAGATTTTGTGGGATTGTTTTCTTTTGTGTTGTTATCTGAATCTTAATATGGATTAAAATCTTTCCGTTTCTTGTTTATTTGTTTCCTTAAAATTTTGATTCTGTTAATGTTTTAGTATTTTCTCTTGGGTTTATTTTGCTTATTGCTGAATCAGTATTCTGGAATATTATCAATTTGTAATCTTGAATATGGCGTTTTAATATAGGGATTTTTTAATTTTTTTTTTCGATGATACATTTTAGTAGACATCTTGTTTAATCTATGGAAAGTTGGAACTTCGGTTTTCTGGAATATTATTAGAAATTTGGGTAATAGCTACTTTTTCCCGGAAATTGTAATTAACATTTGAATCTTAGTTCTGAAAATACCTAGATGATTACAGGCTGGTCAATAGGCCATTGGCAATCACGCTTTAGTAGGATATATCAGAAAATAAATGAAGAAAAATAAAAGCATAAGAAATTATGAGCTAACGGCTATCCAATTTTCTTCACCACATAAGGTATCTATTGAGGATCCTGGCTTTCTGAACTGTTTAGTGTTTGAAATATGTTCGTTTATTTGATTTATGTATGTAGTTTCTATTTATATCAGTTTATATGTTGATATTTATTAAAATATTTCGTGATAGAAATGAGTATGAAACCCATAAATTCTAGTATTTGTTTTTACCCTTGATGTTGCCAACAATTATGATAGGAAGTTTAAATAGGCTTCATCACTGTTGACTTCTCAAAAAATTACTTAAAAAGATTCAACCTTTGGCTTGGTATAGACCAGATTATGTAGTTCAATTCTGTCACTTGTGCAAAAGTGTACTAAATCTTATTCAATTGTTACAGAACTTCTTTGGCATTTTCTGTGTTGATCTCCAAAGAGAGAAGCCAGGGAATGCTGAAATATGTGCTTGAGAAATTGTAGATCTTGCTCTGATGTTTGCAAGGTTTTGGCCTTAAACAAGCTTCCTCTTTTTGTCCTTGATGAGACCAATGGTATAGGCCGCAGTTCACATTCTTTTTATTCGAGACTGCAAAAAGGGCCAACAAGTCGTAAAATGCCAATCATGTTGACACGTGACCTACGTGACGATGGTTAATTCGCATTAACTCATTCCTACATTTTGTGTTAATTACTATTGGGGTGAAGGAAAGAGAGTAATATTTTTGTTTTAGGTTTTGTAGATTTGATATGGATCATAAAGTTAGTGTATTGATGCAAAGATATGAATTAGGGAGGTTATTAGGCCAAGGCACATTTGCCAAGGTTTACTATGCTAGGAGTATCAATACAGGGCAAGGTGTGGCCATTAAAGTAATAGACAAGGAGAAGGTTATGAGAGTTGGGCTCATTGCACAGATCAAGAGAGAAATATCTGTTATGAGATTGGTCCGTCATCCTAATATCGTGCATCTTTATGAAGTCATGGCTACGAAAACTAAGATTTATTTCGTGATTGAATATGCTAAAGGAGGTGAGCTTTTTAACAAGGTAGCCAAGGGTAAGCTTAAGGAGGATGTTGCACGAAAGTATTTCATGCAGTTAATAAATGCTGTTGATTTCTGCCATAGCAGGGGTGTCTATCATCGAGATTTGAAACCTGAAAATTTGCTGTTAGATGAGAATGAAAATCTGAAAATTTCTGATTTTGGTTTAAGTGCACTTGCTGAATCAAAGCGCCAAGACGGACTCCTACACACCACTTGTGGGACTCCTGCCTATGTTGCTCCGGAAGTGATTAACAGGAAAGGCTATGAAGGGGCCAAAGCCGATATCTGGTCATGTGGGGTGATCTTGTTTGTTTTATTGGCTGGTTATCTTCCGTTTCATGATTCAAATTTGATGGAAATGTATAGGAAGATTGGCAAAGCAGAATTCAGATGCCCGAGTTGGTTTCCACAAGAGGTACGAAGGCTACTTTCACGAATATTAGATCCAAATCCAAACACTAGAATATCAATTGCAAGAATTAAGGACAACTCTTGGTTCAAAAGAGGAATGAACTCTAAATCTACAAAACATGATGCGGAAAGCAGTGCAACTGGTTCATCTAGTACAGCTGCGGCTTCTGGTTCATTGGAAAGCAGTAGCACAGCGGCTGACGATGATCAAGAATTTAACAGGCTTTCAAATTTGAATGCATTTGATATCATTTCCTTGTCAGCTGGATTTGATCTGTCTAGATTGTTTGAGGAACCTTGTGCAAGGAAAGAAACTAGATTCGTTTCCTCGAAACCAGCTTCTACCATCATCACCAAGCTCGAAGAACTCGCCAAGCGTTTGAAGTTGAAGGTAAGTAAAAAGGACAGAGGGTTGTTCAAGTTTGAAGGGACCAAAGAAGGTAGGAAGGGGATTTTGTCAATTGAAGCAGAGATTTTTGAGCTCACTCCATGTTTTCACTTGGTTGAGGTGAATAAATCAAATGGAGATACTCTGGAATATAAGAAGGTATTAGATGAGGGCGTAAGACCAGGTCTTCAAGACATTGTTTGGGCTTGGCAATGTGATCAACCTCCACAGGCACCACACGAGTCTCCATATGAGCATCGGCAACAGCCACTTGAACAGGACCGGCAATCACATCATCCACAGCAGCAGCAAGATCTGCTACAACAGCAGCTACTGCTGCAGGAACAAATACCTTGATTATCTGTCTTTGCCAATTCTTTTGTTGATTAGCACCAGATTTTTCCTCCGTCGCTGTATGTAACAAGTCCAACTTAAATACATAATGTGTGTTTAGTGGTATCATGTTTTTCATATCATGGATGTATATATCCGCAGGTACATCTTGAAACTACATTAGGAGGCTAAGGCTTTTAGTGAAATGCACAAATTAGAGCTTCATGACCTTTGTTTCTTAGTTCGTTTTAAAGGTCTATTAGTTCCGTTGAGCATTAGTTATCCGTTCTCATGTTGGGCACAGCAGAAGCTTGAACCTTGCCCTATGTCGTACAGTATCATACATAAAGTTGTACGCGATTCAATTTGTAGACGTGGAGCTGTATTGAATGTAAAACTACTTTATGCCTTGAACTCTTAAGGTCTTTCTCCTACACCTTTTCGTTGATGGTAACAGCAACTCATAAATTGCTTGGGGACAAATGGATACATGGCTACCAAGAACTCCAAAAAATCCCAAACATTTTGTGCTAATGTGTCTTCCGTGGGTCACTACTACCCTATAACCCCTCCTAAATAAAGGGATCCTTGTTGGCTCAATCTAGACAGCATATTTTGAATCATGTGATCAGTCAAAAAGAGAGAGAAGAGAAAAGAAAAGAAAAGAAAAGAACATTTCAATCACATGATACAAATAACCAATCTCTCTTAATACGCATGGCCAATGTTTCTTTTTACTCCCACCACCTTATTTTGGTTTACTCAGTTGTATTTTATTTTGGTTTACAGACCGAAACCCCTAAACTAAAGACATATAGGAGAATCTGTCAAATCAATTATTTCAGGATATACATTTGGTCTTCTCTTCTTTCTGCCAGAACTGGCCCTGTAGCAAGGTGATGGTGTGAAAACATCTATAACCTCAACTTCATAATTAACTCTTGGACTCTTCATCAAGATTGGATCTTCGTCAGCAACTAAGGCAGTTGTTGATTGATTCTCCAGTGGATGGTACATCAGCTCTGTTGTAGCTTCTTCTACCAATCTCAACACGTGCCCATCCACAATGCCACCGGCAATATTATATGAGCCGGTAGTTACAGATGATGTTTCAATTGGGGAGTTTCTCTGCTGTCCCATCCAACTAATTTCTGAACAACTACGTTCATGACGGGTTTCTTCTATATATAAAAAAAAAAAAACGAGTAAAAATGTCGAATCTTTGAAACTTATCTCGGTTAAATCAAATCATGATCCTCTCACAAGCAGAAACATTAAATCATAATTCATACCTATTCCAGGCAGGAAGCGTAAGCATTGTGTATGCTAATTTAATTTTGTTGGTAATTCCAGAAAGGGATTTAAAAGCCGTAGCCGCTTTCCTAACTGCCAGAGATTCTACTGGGTGTTGCCATGCCCACTCAAACTGCAAGGTTAAAAAATCTACAATTACTTGGGTACATCTTCAATAAGCAGGAAGATAAACTTCCAAATTTACGACCTTTTATATGTATTCGCAGATAGCATCAAGACTCCTAACTACGAGTCAATTAATTAATCATGTCTTTCCAGAGTAAAATGTTTGGGACCCATTATCACAAAATTTGAGGTTTTGATTTCAGTATTCTCGAGAAGCACGGTCAAGATTACAAAACATTGCTATATCATTGAGTTGGCCTAAATATCGACAGATTTCCCAATTGAAATGTCCCCGGAAATATTTTCGTAATGGAAACAAAATACAAATTTTGATGCACATCAGCATATGCCTCCAAGTTCGTTTGTCATCTGTCTTTCGTCGTAGCAGCTTGTGCTCTTAGATACGAACTCATTTATTCATTTAAATTTGGTCGTGCCTTTCACAAATTTAATTTTTCAAAGTCCTAGTACTGCATAATTTTCATAAATGGATGGCTATGGTGAAACTTGATGTCAATACATTTGTCTGCTCTGAGCTTCTAAGTATTTAATTGAGTTCTTAGCACTTGTCATCACCATAAATGTACATTCAACTTATTAAAAACCTAAACATCTTTATCAAGAGCTGATATACTGATGGCATAATTCATGACAAAAAGTATATAACCTAAATATTTGAAGGGGAAAAAAGAATAACGAAGGAATTAAGAAATAATAACAACCTGAAGAGCGGCGACATTAGTAGGGAAGCCATAGATGCACAAAGCCATCTCCCAGGGGCGCTTCTTCTTGGTCCTCCATGCGCCGCTCCTAATTTCACCATTGTGCTGCCTTATTCTACGCCGAGGATTCACTGTGAACCTGCCATATTTGCCACATATGTAATTATTGCTTCTTGGGTAAAAATTCAGAATAACTACAATTATAAAGAATAATCATAAGCCTGTACAGAAATTCACCCGATGTAGGTGTGGCCTTTGAAACGGGGGCAGAGTGATGTAAGCAGATAGCATGCGAAGAATCTTGACCCTTCTCCGTCTTCTTCTCCTTCTTTCCCTCCCTCATATTGCTGGTCTATGATTGATCTTTCGACTTTAACATTTTCTTCTACAGAAATTAGGGTTTTATGGATTTGCTTTTGCCCCTTACTTTTTCTCATCTCTCTGTATCTCTCCCTCTCTCCGATTCAATTAACCCTTATGAACAACACATATCTCACCTCTACAATTGTTGGAAAATTTCTCTCTATCCGATTCAATTCATCATTTAAAGCAGCACAAATTCGACCGTTGCAATTGTTGGATATTTCTTTTATTTTCTCGAGGAGCTTTCAAATTTTTTGAGAAAATTTGAAATCGTACAGGGGTGTTTGTGAGTGATTTTTTACTCCAAAAAATTGATTTTTTGATCGTTATTTCGTTATTTTAATCATAATTTTTTACTTCTTCTCTCACAGATGTCCCTACCTTTCATCTAACTGTGAAAAAATCAATTCTCAAAATTCATTAATTGGGCCTCAGTGTGTCAGCATTTGGGCTACTTAACCTAGACTAATTTAAAAAAATGAAAAATAATAAAGAAGGAGATTTCATTTCAAAAGTAGGGTGATAATTAGGGGTCATTCAATAGGGATTTTGAGAATTGATTTTTTGATTGTTAGGAAAAAAGGCAGACCACTTGTGAGAAAATAAATCAAAAATTACGACTGTAATAATGAAATAAAGATCAAAAAATCAATTTTTTTGATGAAAAATCACTCCCAAATAGGACCTAAGGTTTAGTAATTATCTCTACACTACCTTAAAAAGAGAGAATGGCAAGTAGTTCATTCTAATGGCCTGCGTTTCACACGTAAACATGTTCTTATTGTAGAAAAACTGGTTCTCATTGTTACTTTAATAAATTCTTCTCCATTTCGTCCACTTGTTCAGTTCTCTACGGTACAATATATTGGGACATGCACCAAAGACATTTGCATTCCTATTCTACCCTTAAATGCAACAATTAATGAAAATAATTTATAGTTATGAATGGAATGGTATTTCTGGCAATCGAATTCTGAATTGGAGGATGTAATGGTCCTTTGAATATATGTGCAAAAAATATCTCTGGCAATTGTACTATGTTTTACCACAAAAGTTTGAGGAAATTATAGGAAATGACCGGATAAATCGATACTATTTTCAAAGTAACCTTTGACCCCTTTTCGTAAATAAAAAAAAAATCGAATTTAAAGTTTAAAATCCCAAAATACCCCTCACAAAAACCAACTCTCACAAAATCGACTCTCACAAAACTGAAAATCACAAAACTGGTCAGAACAAGGTTGATCTATCGACGGCGACATCTAGTGAAGGTAAGTTACCATTGGTTGATTTAATATTTAGATTTTGGAGATTTTTTCAATATTTATTTGTTTATATTAGTAAAATAGGATTTATGTAGTCTAAAAAAATATCGGTTGCTTGAATATGGAAGCTTTCCTCGTCGGAAATGGTGATTTTCCGACGAGAAAGCGTGAAGAAGGCCGGCTGCTGGCTGAAACCCGACTGTTAACAGTCGGGTAGCAGTAGTATTGGGCCGGCTTAACAGTTGGCCCAATACCTACTGTAGTCGGTGTGGGCCGACTGTTAGTCGGTTTGGCCGACTGTCAAACCGACTAACAGTCGGCCCAAAATAGTACGACACTTATTGATTACCCCTGGAACAGTCGGCCCAAAATAGTACGACACCTATGGATTGCCCCTAGCGGTGCAGGTAAATGGTTAAGATAATAAATGTTAAAATTATTTTCGTATTGAATTTATATATAATAACTGTATGTGTTGCAGATCTCGGCGTATGAGGCCGTCCCCATATTGGGTGCCCGATTTGCGAGGCGAGGGGAGACATACTACCCTCAGATGCACCATTGGAGAGGATCTGATCGGAGGGATGTCCCATTGGGAAACAGTTATCGGCTATTCTGGACGACCCTAGGGTGAGTATTATACATTTGTAATTTATATTGTGCGTGATTTAACATCTGATTGCATGATCGTTAACTAGTTCAAATATTAATATGTCAGCCTGAAGTCATAACTGAGTTGACCCCATCGATGGAGGAGGAGGCTCAGGGTCTTGTGCGTAAATTAGGCGTTCGCACACCGAAGACGACCATATGTCTGATCCAATCCACGACTGAGATTGGGTGAGCGAATTAAATAAAATCTATTGATTACCGTTTTATATGAGTTAGCATTTACGGATGAAGTTAATAATTTGTAATGTTGTTGCTTGTATAGGAGCGTGATCCAGTTGATCGACGATCACCTCCGTCGAGGGCATCACCACCTCCGCCGGAGATGCCGCCGACAGCATCTCATCCTCCGCCAGAGATGCCGCCGACGGCATCTCCTTCGTCGTTGAAAGCATCTCCTCTGCCTCCCCCGTCCAAAGACCTCTCACGTGGATCTCCCGCACGTAGTCAGGGCACTATTTTGATGATCTGTACGCTCGTCTAAGCAGATTTATAGAGGGGCAGGTCGACGGGCTGCGTCGAGAGATGATAGAGAGGGTTGATGATCTGGGACGACAGTTGGTAGGAAGGGTCGAAGGTTTGTCGAATGAGATTGCAACACTTAGGGGTGATATAGCCGGTAGGCGATGAGTTGACGGAGACGGTGATCGAGAGGGTGATCGAGAGGGTGATAGGGATGGGGTGATAGAGATGGGGGTCTCCGACAGTCATACATACATGATGACGATGCATGAGACTCGTTTATTTTATCCGTAGAGCGCGATGGGACGGGAGTAGTGACAGAGGAGGGGGGCCCGTCGGGGAGGGAGACGGAGGCAGATGAGGGAGTGGCCCCGTCGGGGACGGAGACGGTGGCAGATGTGGGAGTGGCTCCGTCAGGGACGGAGACGAAGGCAGATGTTGGATCGGCAGATGAGGGGATGGAGGATGTGGCGAGCCTTGGGGTGGAGGAGGTGGCAGTGTATCAGGCAAAAAAGCGTGTTGTTGACATGCCGGAGACAGTGGTCGGCAAGAGACCGAGAGTGCTGTCACAGTACGTCGTCTCTTCCTTCACGGCTGAGGCGAAGAGGAGGAGGTTCGTCGATGGGACGTACCCCAATCTGTTTCGAGAGGTCAACCATGCGAAGTGGGAAGCATTCGAGGCTGAGTGGCGAAGAATGTTGCCCGGGTAAGTATTGTATGATTTAGTAGATTAGAATTACTCATATATGCTTCGTTTAACGTTTTTTCTATTTTATTTTCAGAGCCACACACATGATAGTCGGAAGGACGATATTTGACGCATGCAAGTGGTTCCATGATATCACCACTTAGGGGGCTTGGCTCGTCTACGATGTAAGTGAAGTGTTAATGTTACTTTTTATATACGTTATGTTTAATTTGGTAAATGAAATAAGTATTTATGTCTTTGTTTTCCTTAATGTAGCACATAGACATGGCCATGGACTTGTTGCGCGATCGAGTTAAGAGATATCCAAAATCATTTCACAAGCCTAGCCGCATTATACTGAACACCGAGTTCTTCCGTACCGTTACTATTGAGTATCTGTCCCTCCAGCTTCTAGGTAACGAGTACGTGCTTCCAGCGTATATGCTCAAGTGGATCATCGGGCCGTCACCGAGTGTTGGGGAAAAGTCATGGAAGGGTTGTACGCATTTGTACATTCCAGTTATCACGAATCGACACTGTATTGCACTGGAGATCGTTTTCACTGATTCGACGATATATGTGTACAACCCCGATTATTCATATCTGACACAGGGACAGCTCGAGCAGATCTTAGAGCTGATGACTGTGATTGTTCCTATGATGGCTAGACATGCGGGCTTGTCTGGGATGACAAACTAGCCATCGTGCGGGACATGACGACGACTAGACAGTCTATATCGTAAGTTTTTGTAATCTTTTTTTTTTAAATTTAGTAATCAATTCTTACGTAATTGGAACCGAACTAACACATATTTGTTCATTTGCAGGGGCGATTGTGGGATTTTCGCAATCAAATACATAGAATTTTTTAGTATAGCACATAAGGTTGATGGAATCAACCAATCATGGATACAGAATTGGCGAAATAAGTTAGCGTGTGATTTATATGAATTTAATTGTGATCCATAAATTATTTGTAAATATTTTTTGTACTTAATATTTGTAATTATTTTTTGTGATTATTCATGTAAATACTGTTTATTTCAATGTAAATACTATTTATTTCAATATAAATACTATTTATTTCAATGTAAATATTATTCATTTCAATGTAAATACTTTTCATTTCAATGGAAATACAAAATGCTCTAACTGTCATTTAGGGGAACCTGACTTGTACAAAATTGACGAGTATGTCCTACTGATTTGCACCTGCTACACCTACGCGGTCGGGAAAACTCTCCAGTAGATGGTATTCTAGAAGTACTTGGACGTCCAATATCACGTGGTTTAATGAGAGGTGGCGACAATGTATTGAACGGGCGAATATGATCGAGAACTTCCCACTCGGCTTCGTTTGAAAGCGGAAATATGGTTTCAACATACGCAACTCTCCAGTTTTCAGCAGTGTAATAAGGAGACCACAATGGTCTCGCTGCAAATCCTCGAAACATAGCCACCGCAACTGCCTGCTCACACGGAAAACTCTCTAACTGAAATTATTTACAAGTGCATGTTTCATCACTTAAATCTACCATATATATCGTATGACATGCACATTTCACAGAGAAGCGCGACTCGTCTAGTGGTTTTTCGACATTTAACTTTCTCGTAGCATCTGCAGCCTTGAAGAACTTTACCTCTTGTGCTGGGACTAGCACGGTTGTGCAATTATGTGATCCCGCACGTCGATCGTGAAACCACTGCTGCAGTTTCGTACGGATATTCTCAATCAGTACGAGAATGGGTAACTCTCGATCCCTCTTAAATAATGCATTGAGAGACTCGACGTTGTTTGACGTCATCATGTTGTATCGACGTCCTGGTTAATATGAGCGCGCCCAATGTTCAATCCCCATTTTCGTTAAATAGTCCCATGCCGGGAATGATTTGCTTCCTATTTCAATCATGTACCTATTACACTCTTCAATACTGTAAGTTTTGGCCGCTCTCCTAAACAATGAAATGATGCCTTTGTCCCGATACCTAGTCTTCAAGTTGCCTTGTATATGGTACATGCAATACCCATGATATGCATCGGGAAAAATTTCAGCAATACTATTTATTATAGACTGTCCTCGATCGGTGAAAATGTAAGGTCCTCGACTTCTCCAATAACTTCTCTTAGCTTTGTGAAGAACCAACGCATCGACATATCATTCTTGTTATCAAGTATGCCGAATGCAAGAGAGTAAATTTGAATGTTGGCATCTTGACATGTAGCAATAATCAACTGGCCTTGGTATTTGGATTTCAGAGTTGTACTGTCGGCTAGAATTAGGGTTCGCATAGCACTTCGAAATCCCCGAATGCATTGTCCAAGAGTCATAAAGAAAAATTTGAAGCAGTTATCGGCCTCCGTCTCAATAAAAAATGTCGAGCTAGGATTAGTTTTCTCCATATTATGACAATATCTGGCCAATTTAGCATAGCTTTCCTCTACCGAGCCCATTAAATCCTCCAATGCGCATTCTTTGGCCTTCCAGGCCTTCTGGTAGCTCATGACTACTCCGTACTCTCGACGAACATCGTTAATGATATCCGATGGTCTGTAGATTGTCCGTGGATCCTAATACTTGTGCATTATCTGTCGACCAATAAACCAAGCTCGGGCTTGCCTGCGATCATTGCGACAAACTCCCACTTCACAAGTATGTTCTCGTGTATATTTGCGAATTACAAAGCACTCATTTGTGTCCATCTTAGTTGCTCACAAACACCAACTGCAACTATCATTTACGCATGATAGTGTCAACAATGACCTATTCGATTTTTTCACTCTAAACTCGAAGTTATATTTCAGTGCAATTAGGTGCACGGCTTCTTGCAACTATTTCTTCGTTTCAAACAGTTACTCGACATACAAATCCTCATTATCAGGAACCACATGTGAGGAGTTAGAGGACGGTCCACTCGATCTAGCCCCGAGGTGCCACCCCACTCATGTCTCTGTCGGGATAAACCAATCAAGTCCTCGTTTGTAAAAGTGTTTGCATTTTCATTCTCGTTGTCACGAGCAGCGGAGGGAATTCTGTGTGCAACTATCTCTGGAATAACCACATCATCTTCACAAGTTATCTCTACCGTATCCCAAAAATCATTAGCATTGTGATCCCCACATCGCGAGTCTACTTGTTCATATTCGACGACATCCTTCCTTACTAAAGTCACGCAAAGAGGAGTCGTGTGCTTATTGTTCAGTTCAATCAGATAATTCACTTCATCAACAGAAGAAATCATTATAGGTGGAATCAGAACTGATACATGTTCGCTGAATTTAAATTTCAATTCCATGTTATACTGAGAAGGATCAACATTCAACTTATTCTGTAAATCATTATAGAGTTCTGCATACGATGTACCTGATGATATGAAAATTGCGATACCACCACATTTATCACTTGTCCATTTCCATACCCATTGATATTTTTCGTCCAATTTGAAATCATCAAAGTAACAAACTGGGACTATAGCCATATCTGCATGTCGAAACAGAATTTTTAATTACATGAAAAATATCAACACCAATAAAAATAACCCAAAAAAGGGGGAAAAGAAGAAAACAGTTGGCAAACAGTCGATTCATCAGCGCCGGCATAATATGCAGATGAATTTTTTCCGGTCAAAAAATTACAGATCTATTACATTTTTTTTCTACTAGTCATTAAATGTCGAAATACAATTTATTGATTTAAACAAACAATAATTTAACGAAAGCAAGATTAAATTTGCGTATATAAACTTACCGAACCGACGAAATTGATGTCCACAAATTTTTCTGACTTCTGATTTATATAAATTTTTAAGTTTCTACAGTTGAAGCAGATGAATGATGAGAGTATTTTATTTATCTGTGTTGGAGTATACCGATAAGAAATGTAGGAAGTGTTTGATTTTTATTTGTTAAGTGAAAGGGTATTCATGTCTTTTAAAAAATCAATTTTTGTAATTGTATAATGTATTTAAGGGTATTTTTGTCTTTTAACATTGGATAAACCAATTTCATAATATTCCGTTGTTGATAAGTCAATGTGAAATTTAGATGCTTTTAAGATGTTAATTTTAAAAATAGCCCAAAAGTTTTCATTTCAACCCTAATTTCATTACTTCTTCTCAGGCCTCAGCCGAATACGGAAGAGAAATCTCAACAAATTCGGTTGAAAATTATGGCGGCCTTTCTTCATCTTTCTACGATTTCCTGCTCATTCTCTGATTTGCTTTCTTACAATAAGCAAATCCTCACCTTCTAGTATACCTATTACAGAAATATGCTTCTGGGATTAGATGTGGTTTAACACTTACATACTATATCGGAATTTGGTGTTGGATTAGTTTAACACTTACCCACTATATGTGCAATGACAAGCAGCATTGACTCCGCTTCATACACCTCCTTAATCACTTTCAATATTTTCCCTTCTCTTTCTAAATAAAGAAATTGCTCATGTATGAGGCAGCTAGCGAGCTGATGTTTGGTGGGTCTCGATTTTCTGGAATAACAGCAAGTCTTTTTCCTTTCTCGGGTTTTTCATTTTCTTCTTCTTGTGCACATGCTTTTCCCTTCAATTTATAACTCCCCATTGATTTGTATGTTGTTTCCCCGACATGTTTTTATAGTTGTGTTTCGCGCGGGTTAACTCGCTAACAATTAAAGAGGATCAGACGATTGTGTAAGGGACGAAACCTCTTGAGACAAAGTCCCAAAAAGAGGTGTTCTTTTATTGGCGATGAACTTTACAATTGGAAACGAAGAAAAAACAACGTGCCTCCAAGGGGCGCAAGCACACGAGTCACAGAAAAGAAAGTGTTTAAGTCTAAAAGCTAAAGAAATGAAAATTACATATTCTCTGTTCGAGAGTTTTGGATTCGGTCCTTTGCTTCTATGTTCTTTCTCCCTTTTATACTTCATAGGCGATCCCTTTGTGATTAACTGCTCTAAAAAACTGCTTGATCGCCCTATAACTACCCACTTTCTTTGTAGTGGCCATTTTGTCATGAAACTGTCCTTTTAACTGTTGCCATTATCTTGCATCGTTCAACCGCTTTCGATTGAACCCCTTGAGTCGTGGAACGTGGTAAGGTTACTTTAGCAACTGCCTCAATAACTGTATTTCTTGATAATCATAATGCGTTATGTTTGTTGATACCTTGGGC